GGCCCCTGATGTTTGACTTGGACGTGGTGTTTTGGGAGGCTTCAGCTGAAAGTCTGTTATGGTCGTAATGTGTGTTACGGGAACCCATAACAGACCCCTGGAAAATGTACTGGGCACACATCAAAAGGGAAGCTTAGTCTGGGCTCCATTACAGGCTGTAACGTGTGTTACGGGCGCCCGTAATGGAGCTTTGGTATTTATACTAGGAAATTCTGGCCTTCACACTTTTCTCTGTCTTTCATCCGATTTTATCTTCTTTCCTTCCAGTAAGCTCATAGAGTCCTGCAAATGGAAAAAACACAATACCAAAGCATAAAATATGGAAAAAGGGAGAATCATAACAAAATGTGACGGAAATGTGACTAAAAACACACTTATAAAGCAACATAAAACACACTTATCAAACTCCCCCAAACTTAGATAGTTGCTTTTCCTCAAGCAATATATCTTACAAAGAATATTTTTGGATCAAGCAAAATATCAAAAGAAAGAGTTCATGAAAGAGAAAGAAAACTGGTAATCATACATGAGCTTTTGTTCAAAAAGGCCAAGGGTTAGTTCTTCTGATACTCACTCGACTCCAAGGGTCTTTACAAGAAAACGAAACAAGGTAAAACCATGGACCTAAGCTTCCCTACTCGGACATCTCTCTAACTATGCATTGTACTTAGGTATCGTTTCTGATTTTTCTCCCTTTTCATTCGGACAATCAAATTAAGGCAATGGAAGTTATAATAATCATAACATGAACAAGGTTAATTGAGAATTTTTTTCATTTATACAAAATTTGTTATCCACCAATGAAATTTTCAAAGCCTATTAAACTTGTATATTGTCCTTTATTCAGGACGACACTGAGGATCAACCCCCTTTGGGCTGAATAATCGGGTGAGGGTTATCCGACTTAGCGGACCGGTTGCCTTTTACTGCCTTTACATCTTTTTTGTGTTGACGAAATTTTCAAAACTTTTGCAAGTTTATATATTGTCCTTTGCTTAGGACGATGCTGGGGATCAACCTATTTCGGTTTCCTTTTACCGCCTTTTTATCTTTTTGATGCAATTATTCTCTTTGTTTCTCAATCAACCATACATGCATGCAAATCTAAATTATGCCAGCCTGTCAAATTAAACTAATTTGGGAGTACTTCTTAGGATCTAAGAACTATGGTATAATTCTATATGTCAGACACGTGTCACTTTTGGGAAGCTCGGGGTGTTCAAGTAAAGAATCTTTTTATCAAAATTTTCTAGTTTTCCTAACCTTAACCTTTCATTCCTCTAGCTCTATATAATATCCCAGTTGTCTCAAAATCAAAAACTCTTTTGGGAAAAAAATTTGGTCTTAGTTTAAGAAAAATAATGAAGAAAAATGGTCTTTTATTGAAGGGAAATAAACAGAAACAAGTAATGGAATCAAATGAATTGACAGAAATAGATGACAATAAAATAAAAGTAAATAAAATAGGTAAACCCCCTTCATACTTAAACCAAACATTGACCTTAATGTTTTAGTAAAAGAATAGGTGAGAAAAACTCATAGATAAGGTGGCGGGAGTGGGAAGATTGAGATTTTCGAAAGAAATTTGAACTTTTTTTTGCGATGGTCTCCATTACGGGCCATAATGCATATTACGGGCGCCCATAATAGACTACTGCTTTTTCTACCAGAATGATTTTTTCGGGTTTGAATCTTCTTCTTTTCTCATTCTTCTCATATTTTCCATCAACTTAAAAGGTCTTTCATTGGGGGTACCTGAAAAATAGGAAAAACAAACAAGAAAACGATTAACATAAAAAATAGTGGGATGCCTCCCACTAAGCGCTTAGTTTAACATTGCATGGTTCGACGGTCTATGAGTGTTGCCACTCAAGATGGTTCTTTCAGAAATGATTCTTCAACCTTATGCTTCCATGTCCACTTATCAAGCCATTTCTCATATCTAATACTTTTCTTTCTCTTCTTCCTATGGTGTAATTCATACTTTTTCCATTGTGAGGGTGGTTCTTGTTCTATCCTAAGTATTCGTTCTTCAGGTTTGGATTTAATCTTTTCATCCCCCACCTCAAAGTTTAATCTTCCCCTCTTAACACCAATAATTTCCCAAGTTTCATGGTCTTCTATTTTTCTCTTTTTAGGTAGGTCCTCGGGTAATGGTACATTGGTATGGATCTTTTCCAATATCTCCACATAATTTTTGGATTGAGTGCCTACCTTAGGTTCCACACATCTTTGTGGGAAAGGAAATTATGGGTTGTAGGAAGGAGTAACAACATATCGTGATTACTTCTCTACCTCTTTGATAACCTCCATTTTATATGGTGTCGATGGATCTCCTCAATCCCTACTATTTTATCTCTAGAACTCTTCTCAACCTCATTATTACGCTCCCTAGGTTTTTCAGTTTGTTTTTCACTACTGAGTGTTACAACATCCACATGTCTCTCAGGGAAGGATCTTAGAGGTGTGTGTGCAAGCAGGGAGATTTGGGTCTCCAATGCCTTATTACGAGTCACGAGGGACTCAAACACTATATTTAAACGCCTAAGGGTTTCAATAGTATGGATATTCTACTTTCTATACTCTTCATTCTGGAGAGTTTGTGTCGCCACAAAGCTCTCCATCATATATTCCAGGTTAGAGCGAGCTTGTGTTGCAATGATATCCTCCATTAACATTTCAAGGTTGGATTTTTGGGAATCTTGTGATTCCTCAAGATAATGGGAATGGTTATCATAGAGAAAATTCAGTTGATCAATCCACTCTGGGTTGTAGGCACCGAAACATGAGTCTTCATGGTAATTGTTTGCACAATTAATCATGTTTGGGATAAACTCCATGCATGCCACAAAATAGTCAACGAAAAAATTTAAAAAAATTACAGCGAAAATAAAGCTCTAATCTCTACAGTGATAAAATAGAGTATCAATATCAACGCAATTGGTCCCCGACAACGACGCCAAAAACTTGACACACCGCAAGCGCACGACTAATGATAGAGTAGTAAAAAGTATTGAATCCACAAGGGCAATTGGTTGAGTACCGAATTCTATTATATCTTTGTAAAGCTAGAGTGACTGAATAGTTGGGAGAGATAAACTCAAGTGAAAAATCACTTAAGTCAAAATAGCTTATTTTCAAAAGCACTTTTTGAAAACAGCTTAATTGCAAATAACTTGAAGATTAATAAAACAAACAGGACTTTAGGATCATGACTACTATCTACGACTTCTCCGCAGGGCTTAAGTATTTTTATTACGAGAATTTTGATGCAATTTTATAGAAAAATATAATGTTGGGGTAATTCCTGCTTTCGCCAGCAAATTACACTATCCTTGACGAGCGAGACGCTCGTCGGCTTTTGCTCACGCATAAGCATTCGTCAGTGAACATTGTTTTGCACAAATATTTAAATGGGATAATTTCTCAATCTCTTCTGATCACTTTCGTGACTTCGAAATTGATCGTTTAAAAACTGCTTTCCGGTTTTTACAATTATCCTTTCGGATAAAGATAAAAACCCAAAACAGACGTACTTTCATAGAGAGGTTTGAATCAATACTCAGTTTTTAAAATAGTCAAACGCTGAAATCCTCATAACTAACTTAAGCTAATTCCTATGGATAATCATTTATAGGGTTCATGACCCTTAGTCCTTATGGAACTACTCACTCATGGTATCATTGATAGGGTTTATGACCCTTAGTCCTTAGGGTTCATGATTTAATAAATTATGAATAAAAAAGAAAATAAAATAAAAACCTGATGAAATAAAATACTGAGTAAAACCTTGATTTAATGACTCCAATGGGGACTTGTACAAAGAAGTGTAAAAGTTACAGAAGAAAAAAATTGTACTATAAAACTTGATTTCTCTAAATCCCATCTAAATGGACTTTTATAATATTCCAAATAAAACATGAAAATCCAAATCATCAATGCTCTATATAATGTTTCAACTTAATCATAAAAGTCAGAATCCCCATATCAGAGACAAAATCAATCGAGAAAGGAAACAAAATTATTAAGTTTTCGCACTCCTGTTATAGGCTGTAACGTGTGTTACAGGCAGCCGTAACAGGCCCCTGATGTTTGGCTTGGGCATGGTGTTTTGGTAGGCTTTAGCTGAAAGTCTATTATGGGTCGTAACGTGTGCTACAAGCACCCATAATAGACCCCTGGAAAATGTACTGGGCGCACATCAAAAGGGAAGCTCAGTCTGGGCTCCATTACGGGCCGTAACGTGTGTTACGGGCGCCTATAACAGAGCTCTGGTATTTGTACTAGGAAATTTAGGCCTCCGTACTTTTCTCCGTCTTTAATCTGATTTTATCTCCTTTCCTTCCGGTAAGCTCATAGAGTTCTGCAAATGGCAAAAATACAATACCAAAGCATAAAATATGGAAAAGGGAGAAACATAAACAAAATGTGATGAAAATGCGACTAAGAACACACTTATAAAGCAACATAAAACACACTTATCATATATATCATGGTATCAGTTGATGACTTTACATTTAGATAATTTAAAGAAGCATAAACATCACCATCTTTAATAATAGCACACATTTTTTTATCAAAATAATTTTACAAATCCTTCTTTGTAAACCCAACACCATCATATCCACCCTTATGAGCAACCATGTACCCCATTATATGAAAGTTCTAATTCTATGTGACTAAAGACCATCAATATGATCTCTATTTGCTTCAAAAATTTCATGATAAATGGGGTGTAAGTGCACAAACTTAGATGGGGTTAATTCATGGTTATGAGCATTTCAAAATATGACACTACATATAAATCCTTTCTAGCTTTGTAGTGCATATTAAGCCTAGTTGCACATTTAGTACAAGTTAAACTTATGTGATCTCGTTTCCTCTCAACCCTACATAAGTGTTTATTCTCTCTTAAACCATGTTTATTGCACACAAACTGCCTCATTACTGTTATTTTACTACCTTCAGGCCTCTGTTGTCCTAACATCATTTTACCATATCTAATAAAATTCATAAGCTTCATTAACAGTACCCAATTCCATAGCACAAATTTCATCAAAAGCAATGGAATTAATACTCACCAATTTATCCTCTACAATTGCATCTACTTCAACCAAATCATCATTATGAATATTATCATCATCATCACTGTCATTTGAACTTTGATGCCCACTAGATACTGAATATTTGTCATTCTTAGCATCATTCGATTCAACATCAGATGTATCACCATCAGTGGAATGAACGTCATTGGAATCAAAATCATCGCAGTTTTCCATAGTAAACCTAAATTAACATAACTTTTTAACACAATAAAACTCACCATAAATCACAATACCTAATTTCCTAATTAAATAAAAGGTAACTAACAAAATTGAAAATTCAAAATCATCAAATATGAAACCCACATACGAAAAACAAATACAATCATAAACCATAATTCACATATTGAAAACAATATAAAGCATAAACCCTAATTCACATATTGAAATCTAATTTAACACCCTCAATACTTTATTTGAAATTTAAACTAACAAAATTGAAAATCAAAATCATTAAATACGAAACCTATATACAAAAAAAAAATTCAAGCATAAACCCTTGTGGAAGATATTAGATCAAACTCTATTGGGTCAACTTCGTGGTTCAACAAGTTCAACATAGGTTAGCATGAATTTGAAGGTTGCTCACATGCTGGTGTCGAAGAAGTGTATGATGTAGTCAAAGTATGGTCAAGCATGCAGTTGTCGAAAATTCTAGGGTTGTTAGTATGTTGAATTGGGCATGTTTATTATGTCCAATTGTTCAAGTTAGCTTGTACCCTAAGTTAGCTTGTAATGGGTATTTGTGAAAAAGCCCATTAGTTTACTATGTTAGGTTTATTATAAATAGCATACTAGTCTCTCATCATTACACACAACAAATCCTAATTTAGGGTGAGAGGATAATTTTTTATTCTTGTGTACTTGTAATGTTGTTTAAAGAGAAAGTAAAGAATAATATTTATAATCAATTCCTTGTAGTTCTTCGTGTTCTATCATCTTTTCTACCCTGTTTGATTCTTGATCATAAAGAAACAGTTTATACTTTGTTTCAAAAACATCTAATTTCACAACAAATTGATGTGGTGAGCATGGAAAAAAATGAATTCAACAAAGTATGAGATTGAAAAGTTCACCGGAGTAAACGATTTTGGTTTATGGAGCTTGAAGATAAAATCCCTACTGGTTCAACAGAGTTGTTTGGAAGCGCTGGAGGGAGCGACGACCATAGATGTTGCGTTAAAGTAAAAATAAAATACGTCCATGATAGAGAAATCCTATAGTGCAATCTTATTGAGCCTTGGTGATAAGGTTCTTCAACAAGTATCAAAGGGGATGACGGTATCAGGGTTATAGGTAAAACTTGAAAGTTTGTACATGACCAAATCATTGGTAAATCGACTCTACCTGAAGCAAGCTCTGTATTTATTCAAGATGCTTGAAGACCAAGTATTGTCTTAACAGTTGGATATATTCAAAAAACTGATTCTTGATCTTGAAAATATTGATATGAAGATCGATGATGAAGATCAAACACTGTTGTTGTTGTGCTCTTTATCCAGAACACATGCTCACTTCAAAGAAACCCTCTTGTATGGAAGAAATCCTCTAACCTTTGAAGAAGTTTAATCAACCTTGTATTCTAAGGACTTTAATGAACGAACAGAGCATAAACCTTTGACGGTTGGTGAAGGTTTGTCCATTAAAGGAATGTTCTTATGAAAGGATGGTAAGTTCAACTAGAAGAAAGGTAAAAGTCAGTCGAAGTCTTATAATGGTGATGTACCTGGTATTTGATGCTATCATTGTAATAAGGAGAGTCATACAAGAAAAGTGTGTCCTGAACGTCTGAAAGATCATAGAGGTAAGAATAATGGCAATGCATCCATTAATTAAGATGATTTCGCCTCATCTGATGTTCTTGTGGTTTCAATGCAGCAACTCGAATAAGGAGTGGATTATGGATTCACGTTGCACTTGGCACATGACTCCAAACAAAGACTTGTTCGAGGAATTATATGATCAGATGATGGATCTATATTATTGGGAAATAACAAAGCTTGCAAGATTGCAGGTGTTAGATCTGTGAGATTCAAGCTCTAAGATGAGTCAATAAAGTTGTTACTGAAGTCAGGTATGTACCTGATTTAAAGAGGAATTTGATTTCTCTTGGTGAATTTGACAAGAAAGGATATGTTTTCCAAGGAGATGAAAGTTACCTAAGAGTCATGAAGGGGTCGAAGGAAGTCTTAAGAGGCATGAAGAAACAAGGATTGTATACCTGATGAGTGCTAAATTGTTGTGAACTTAAGTGTAAATAATTAGCACTCATCGGCTTAATTCGTTTTCTTTTTGTCAATAAACCTTAACTTTAGTGTATATTCAGTATAGTTTATGTTATAGTGTATTTATTGCGTTATTATGTAAATATCATTGAGTTTAATTGATTTTATCTCATTTTGTAGGTATCCAAGCATTGATATTTATCCATTTTTAGATAGAGAATTGGATAAGCTTTCCAACACTTATGATCTTGCGTGAATCAGAGTTATGATTCAAAAGTTATGGCCGAAACAGTGCAGAATGTTGTGCTGGTTTTTTAACTTTCTGCCATTCGTCGCCGGACGATGCTTTTTGGTCACTGGGAAACGCAAGTTGTGCTGAAGCATGGAAAAAATGTTGTTTTGGTCGTCGAGCGACGCTTTTTGGTCGTCGGGCGATGCTGGACAGTCAGAAATGCACCATCCTCCATTCTTTGATAGTTAGAGCTTAGAAAACAACATTGAAGCTTGTATACGAATGATCTGGGGTGGATTACTCATCAATCGACACTAACAAACCGGTAGATTTGTGGTTCATTTCTCTTCCTCTTTGTGTATTCTTTATGTGTTGAGTTTGTATATTTATGTATATTTGTCTCCCATGGCGTTATATTAAACTTGTTTACAAATCTTTGTCCATTGTTGTCCTGGATTTTTGCTCTGTGCTAGGGATTTGAGTTGTTATAGACATATACTGCTTAGATTCTTATCTAGGATGATTATCTGTTAGTTTCTGAACTTTAGAGATAGATTTAGAGTTGACATCTACTTGGGTATCAGAGCTTAATGCCCCTGTGTGGTTATGCTGTGCTGAGAGATTGACAGTGCGATTACATAGTTGTCTTCTGTGTTGTTGAAGAGGTAGAGATATCATTTCCTTGGTGATACAGTCGGCCTCTCAATTTGGGTTAGAAATGACTTTGGTTGTGAGTGATATGTAGTGACATTGATGAGTATTGTTAGGTTGAATGTAACTGGTCAGTAGATTTAAGTCTGCAATGAGTAGATTATATGCAGGCTTGATAAGTTCTTCCTTAGTTTTTTCTTTTGTTTACATTTATTTTCTGCTGATACTTTTCTATACCATTCAAACAAAACTCATTAACGAGAGATTTGTCGAACGACAATTCAATAACCAATCTCTGTGGACACGATAAATTCCCGGATAAACATTTCCAAAACTTTTGTTGCTTGCCGCTACACCACCATAACAAAATATCACTAGGCGATGCTGGACAGTCAGAAATGCGTATTTAGGGGTAAAAACACTTTTTTTATGATGGTTTTGGGTATTTTTGACCCCAACTCCATCATCCTCTATTCTTTGATAGTTAGAGCTTAGAAAACAACATTGAAGCTTGCATACGGATGATCCGGAGTGGATTGCTCATCAATCGACACTGACAAACTGATAGATTTGTGGTTCATTTCTTTTTTGAAGAATGGAAAAACACAAGAAGGGGGAGGGGGTTGAATTGGGGTTTTTAAAACTTAAAAACAAAAGACATGTTAGTTATCCTGGTTCGTTTGAACTCAAACTACTCCAGTCCACCCGCCAAGGTGATTTCGCCTCTCTCAATGAGGTCTTAATCCACTAATAGATATTGATTACAAAGGTACAATGACAATTTCCAAAGTCTTCTTGAGTTTAAACCACAACCTAGTTTTCTCAAGGTATTACATAGTACTATACTTGAAAGCCTGTACAAGATATGTTTTCTAACAAAAATAATATCACAAAAGTGATGTATTACACAAATGAAAATAAATGGATTTAAGGTAGTGATATTTCTTGTTTGTGGTGCACAGCAAAATCGTAAATGATTTCTCCTTCAAGTCTTGTTTATATAGGCAACGCATGAGAGGTCCTTTTGGAATGTTGATAAATAGTAGTAAAAGAACTTTCCAAACATAGAGATTCTTGTCCTCTTTCAGCCGATACTTTTGAATAGCCATGAATGAAATGTAACACTTCAGAACAAGCTTGCTAAAGATTACATCAGAAGATGAATGTTACCGTTGGGACTCCTTTACTTCTTTCCAAAACTGTATGAAAAAAAATAACGGAGTTCTTGTTCGCAGCGTTTAGTGCACTCAGAAGTTGTAGCTTTAGAACTTCTTTATGTAAGCGTGTTACGCATATTTTGCTTTCTATGTAAGATATGTTGAATCAGAGTTTAAACAACGATCTAACTCATCTTTTTTGCTTCTTACATCAGAACTTCCCTGCAAAATAAAATACTTATTTAGGGAACATAATTGTTCTTTGAGTGTTTTTTATCATAAAAACTCTTACAAGGGTTGTAGAATCAAACTATATTATAACAATCTCCCCCTTTTGATGATGACAAAAACTTGGATATTTTGATCAAATACGTAAAGAACATAAAGCATTAAAGTCTCCCCCTGAGTTGGATACTCATATAGAGAAGAAATAGTTCCCTGAAGATTGTTCTGATCAGAGTTTTTGAGAAGAATATTTTCTATGCATCCACAATTGTCCTCAATAGAGGTTGTTCCTGTTTTGCTTTCAGATGAAAAACATTAGAAGTTATGATATTCAAAATGTTTGAGACTGAGTCTCGATACTGTTATATTCGAAATATCTTACGTTCTACTCCTTTTTTTGTCAAGAATAAAAAAGCAATAAAAACACTTTAGACAATAAAAGGCATTTTGTATTCAAAAAAAGATTCAAGGAAACAAATAAAATAACACAATGAAGAAAACAAATTTCAGAACTAATTTTGAGGAGGTGGAAGTCATGTGAACAGGGCTTCCAATAAACTCTTAATCTAATTGTTTGATTCCTCTTGTTTTCCAAGCATCCCTTTGATTTAATTGCTAGTTTCATCCTGCTTGTTTAGCCTTTCCCTAAACACATCATTTTCTGTCTTCAGCTCCTCCAGAGTTTAC